GAAAACCGACAGACACACAGTCTACTCATAAAACAAATTCGTAGAAACTGTCAAAGACAGTTTGTTCGTAATTTTTTATAAAACAAACTCGAACCAAGAATGTCCAAAGATACCAATTAGCGTTGAAAAAAAGGAGTTGCTTTACTTTTACCGATAGACGTCTGCGTCATATCGTGAGTTTTTCGCGTCTTTCAGTTATAGATAAATAAAAGTGTAACGTAAACCAAAGACATCAGGACTCCTTCTCTCTCTCTCTCTCTCTCTCTCTCTCGCCGCGTGAGACCGCACGGGTGGAAACCACCCTACATCCCCCCGTCGCTCATCCCCGACGCTCCCCGTTTTCGAGAAGCGCGCTGAGCGTGTTCCGAGGAGACAAAATAAATATGCCGTCCATGTTTTTCCGTCACGGCCACCGTGAAATGTGCATAATCCTCAAACGAAAATGTCGACGAGGGAGGCTCCCAAGTTCGGGGGAGGAGAGAAAACCGGAAAAATCTCTCCGAGTGGGTGGCGGGCGAAAAGATTTCTACCAATTATCGACGGCGCGTCTTTTGATCTGCGTCGCGCGACGCGTATGTTGATTCTTAAAACTCTTATTTCTGTTTGAAAAAGCAGAGGAGCAAACTCTGACTGCCTACTCCCCGCCGTTCTCCGTTCCCCTTTCCGTCGACGCGCTACCGCGATTTGCGGTGGATATTTCGCCGAACCTGGCGCTTATTTTTCAGACCGAAGAGAAGAATGAAGTTCTATACACGTCGGAAACACAAGATCCTCCGAAAAGTTTCTTTTTTGTCTCTCGTCTCTTTATTTCAAAGCGTTCACCGACGTTGCGAGCGAGAGAAAAACTCTGACGTACTTTCTATTTTCTCTCTGTGCAAACGAGTTTGAAATAAATTTTTCTTTTTTGCGCTAAAATATGATTATCATTGTTAATAAATTAATGGAGCTCGCAGCGAATCGCGAACGCGTATCACACAATTTTTATTAATAATAAAGTCAAGGCGAATTTGCGTGGAAATCTTAGAAGTCGTAAAGAAACGATTCATCAAGATCTGCGATTCATAAAAGGCTCCTAATCCCGAATCGCGACAAGCGCTTTCCAGCGAGGGGGTAGCGGTTGCAACTTGGAGTGGCCATTGTAATGTTAAGCGTCTACCCTCCCTCTTCCCCCCCTCCCATACCTCTCGCTTCTTCTTGCGGCCAAGTCTGTTATCTCGACGACGCTTTTCACGATGGAAGCCTCACCCGCTTCTCATTTTCCCCGGCAAACGGAGAAGACTAAAACAATGAAAGAAGAAACGTAAAGATCACGCTATTGTTATTGTGGTTATTAGCGACTGAATAATTCGTCCAAACCCATTATCGTCTATTAAGGTCGAACTTTTGCCGCGCGGTATCTCGTGCGCGGCCGCGGTATCTTAATGCATCCTCTTACAGAACAATACCCTTAATTAATAATAATCCTATTGGAGAATAATCAGACATGCAATTGCAAAAGCCAAAGATTCGATCGTTACGATTCAAACGATAGAGTCGTAAGTTAACGATCGTTAAAAGCAGGATTCCGCAACTATTTCGTTTAAATGCATCAACCGCGAGATGTGATATTCATTAATATTATAATTAAATTGAAATTTAATATTTGAACAATTGAATTACACAAAAAGTAACATAAAAAAGTAACGAAATGATGTAACAGACATAATTTTGCGTCCAGTTGCCCGTAATTTCTTTCTCTCTCTCTCTCTCTCTCTCTCTCTCTCTCTCATTTTCAATCGAATAACCGTCGAGTGGACGAGTTATTTCGTTGACGGTAACCACTTATCCGACCGCGCGCAACGTCACATATCCAGAGCGGGTTCGCGGAGAGGTTCGGAGGTCAGCACGAAGAGGAGACAAACCCCACGCGACGGACTGTTCATGCGAAAGCCAACCGGGGGGCTTTTTAATCGACCTCCGCCACCCCAAACATCCGTCAGTCCGTCCGGTAGAGATTAATTTCATCATGAATGTTAGTCCAACACTCGAGATTCAACCGTGAGCAAACACCCTCCACGCACTCTATTAACAGTTTAAAGCGTATTACGGTCGCGCTCGTTGGGTCGAGCTTCGCACGCACGATCAACACCCACATCGAGAGCAGCGAGTCGTTCAGAAATGAATGACGCGGTCAAAAGAGAATCATACATGAAAATATTTGTGTGCGCCCGAGTTGATCCGATTCGATCGTTTCGAGTTGACGCGCGCGTCGATATATTATTTTAGCGCGACTTCTGTCAACTTTTTCTAGTCGTTTGAATACACGTTTTGTATATTGAAAATATGACTTTTTGTTTTTTATATTGTGAATTTTTTTAAATTACATATAAATGTGTACGCGTGTGTGTATGTTTGAAAAATTTAATCGACGCGTTTATATAAAAAGAAAAACGACATCTCGCTATCTTGCGGAGTTCGCGGCGAACGTAGCCAATTAGGCGTGTCTCGAGGGTTGAGAGCTTCGCGTGTACGTTTCACGTTAGTAGAACAAACCGGAGAAGAGCGAGGCGGACTGAGAGCACGCGCAGGGCGAAGTAAACCGAGATAGATAGAGGCATCGAAAGACAAGGAGAAAAATACGAAGCGAAATCCCTTCTTCCTTCTCCTTCGCCTTTTTCGGTGGAAATAAAACTGTTGTATCTACTAATAAAGGCGGAGCCTTACTTTTAAAAGCGCGCACTTTTTGCTCTCTTTCTCTCTCTCTTTCTCTCTCTCTCTTTTTCTCTTTGCCTCTTTCTTCTTCTTCGTCCTACGTTAAAATAGGAGGGATTAGTTCCTATGGTAGCGCGGGGGCTTAAGCATTGATGAGGTTTTTAAATGGGTTCTCCTTTGACGATGGTAAGAGAACGCGAAAGGCGAGTAGGGGTGGCCACGACAACGGGGGCAGCAAGGGGAGAGAGGAGTCGGGCGATATTTACCGGGAGATTAAAAAATCGAGGGAAAAATTAAGTGTTACGGGGGCACGCCCCTGTCCTGGACTTAATTCTACGTAATCCTCTGCTAAGATCGCCGAACCGTCCTCTCTTTCTCCCCGTTACCCTTCGCTCAACCCCGTTTCATGCGAAAGGTCGATCGAGATTTTCATCTTCTTTTCACATAAGGATACGTTTCTCGTTGCCTCGCTAATCGCGCGAGATTACAATTTGCTCGAGAAAGGATATTTTCTTGGAGCTTGCGAAGCTATTTCTTGTTTGAGCTAAAGAAAAAGAGACTAGATCCGGAACGAACGAGAAATAACGAGAAGAGAACGTTGCTTTATTAACGTGTCTCGATAAGTAAAACTCGAATATATATTCTCCGGAACGGAAACCGCGAAATGAAGTTTCGTTCAACTCGCGGCGCACGGGTTGTTCCGCAAAAGGACTTTTTCCCGGCTGACCACTCGCGCGCTCAAATAATAATGAAGCTTAATTACATGAGACCAAGTCGATATGTTGGCGGTACAAATATTTAGAAGACGAGCGCACGGTGGTGGTCGCGAAGCGATGTTATTAGTAAATTAACTGACATCAAAGAAAATGCGAGCGCTGGTCACTTACTCTGCTAATGGAAAGCCAGCATCGTCCTACGCGCCAGCAACACATACATATACATATATATATATATATATATGTATATATATATATAATATTCCGTATAGTATCACTTACAGATATTTATATCCGCATATACAAATAAATATATACATGTACCTGCATATTTGCACATATTTTTAGTATATAATCCCTCTATAGACATGCTTCGAAGGGAGTGAGAGTAAGAACACGTGAACTTGGTTTTGTAAAATATATCGCGCAAAACGATCAAATTAAATTAAGAGTCCGCACAATACGTCATTTCTCAGATTCATCCCTGTTATTATTCACATTTTTAATGATCGTCTCGCTAAGACAAAATTCCTTGTCAAGGAGGAAGACGCGTGTTTCTTCCTTGAAACGAGAAAATCTCTCGCGCGCGCGCGCCTTCCCGCCTCGATCCTCGAAGAACCTGGCTCTACTTCATCGGTGTCCGTTGTGGAAGGTCTTAAGGGTGATTTTTTCTCGTTCCTCCGTGCCGGACTAAATTTTGCGCGTTAAGCCCTCGGTGTAATCCCGCCCTTAATATTCAAAAACGTGATCGCCTTGCCAAGCGCGCGCCGAGCCGGTCCGCAGCTAGTCCAGGCGGAGACGCCACCTCCGGCCGGAGGGTGGGAGCTTTTCATATGCTAATTGGCATTCGTCATTTTCTTACGGCACCGACTTAAGTGTGCTTAAGGCTGCTAACTCCTTCCTTGGTGTTAGAGAGCCGGCTAGGCCTCGCCAGCGTCCTCGTAATTGGACCTCTCGCGATTCGACCTGCGCTCACACGGGCGGCAAATACGAAATTCGTCATCCCCGAAGTCGTTCGAGAGCTTCGCTTCAACGGGAACGATCCGGTCGAATTGCTAGATGGGATTTCGTATCGATAAGCGCCTTTCCTCGATAACTTATATTACATAATATATTATCATATATCGTTTCCCGCATTTTTTCTTTATTAATTAATAAATCGAACAACAAACGTCGGTTTATAACAGAATAACAGAATTAATTTTTCATTCATTATTTTAACAGAATTAATTTTTTGAAATAAAAAATATGTAAATATAATAAAAAGAAGTTAACGTTCAAATAAGTTATTGTATATGTAAGTGACAAAATATTAAAAAATGCGAGTATATTGACAATATTGTCACAGAGACGTGATTAGTGACGTTATATAGATAAATACTTTATATGTATTTGTGATATATATATATACATTATCCCTTTTATATTCACGCGAGCAGCGCCATCGCAACGTTTCGCACACCTCTACGTGACACAGTGTGGGTGTCGGTAATGCTATCCCCATCGTGGTACACGTATAATACACTAACTTTATCGAAAGATATCTCGGCGACATATCTGTGAAGAGATAACACGCGGTATTCGTCGTCTAGTGCCGCGCCTGTGTACGGTTATATCGAACATTACCAGTTCACCTCGACAGAAGTGAAAACGCGCGGAACCAACAAAAAATCTCCCAATGGGTGAAATTTTAGGCGAGATGTTGCCAACATGTGAACGCGCCTCGGAAAAACATTAACACGCTGACTTGATTGTGAATGTGATTTTGTTTTGTTGCAGTCTGTGAAAATACGATATACGAGGCGGAACAAGTTTGGAACAAACGTAAGTCAGTGTGTCTCTTTATGGTGCGATATCTCACACATTTCGTAACTTTTTTCGTAACGTTGCGTAAGAATGGAAATATTTTTATCGAATCTCGTAACAAAAGATGTGTTCATTGTTTTTACTTTTTTGTTTTACGTGTAATATTGAAGAAGCGTGAACTCTTCTATGAGTCTTTACGATTTCCAGTAACGCGTAATGACTCATACCAATACATAGGTCGTTCGATATCAGTGATTCTTACATTGTATTTCTCGTAATCACGTAAGATATCGTCTAACGATGCGATGTCTTTAATAAAGAGTAATTGTTAAAACTAATAGAACATGTTGAGTATGTATTTATACATATGCACGTAATATACAAAATAGTAAATAAATGTAAAAAAATGCAAAATTTCAAACGTACGTACAAAATGATAAGATTTTAACGATAAGATCTTGTTGCGACAATCAAGGGCGCGTCTTTCTGAAGAAACAGAAACAAAAGATGTCGCTTCGCAATTTTCCGGAAGTTTTGAGAAGCGGATCGCAAGTGGAAGGCGGTCTGTCAGGACCGGCGAATCCGATACCCAATCAGTCAATTGATTGCGGCTGCGGGCAGTTGCAATGTCCGAAACTGGCGAAATTTGCGACGCGCAAACTCTTCGTGGGATTGATTTGTTGGCTCGGCGTGGTGCAAGCCGCGTCGCACGCTTATTTTCAAGTGGCTGGATCTACGATAGCCAGGAGGTTTCACATCGATCCTTATTTAATGGGTGGGTACATTAACAACATATATAAACAAATTAGCAAAAAAGTATTTTTTAAAAATTACTAATTAATTGATTAAATCACAAATATTTACTAATTGCAAATATTGCAAAAATCAATTCAATAAAAATATAAATCTCAACGCAATCTTGTTATTCTAGACTGGATTCTCGTAGTGGCGGATTTGACACCTATCGTCCTCGGATTGGTAATAGCTTACTGGGGCGATAAAATACACAGAGCTTCGTGGATAGGCGCCTTGACACTTTTGCAAAGCGTGTCGTACTTTATTTTGATAATACCTCATTTAACGCATCGCGTACGTGTTATCGAGGACACGCAGAACGCAACTCACATGTCATTATACGCCGGTCAGTTCTCTTGTGTGTTACCGATTTCTCGATAATCAAAACGATTTCACCTCGGCGCTCTATTGCCCCTGTATTTAGTATCATATAAATTATCTCAGAGACTAAATGTTATTTTATTTTATTTTTTTAAGTAACCAAATTACAAATTTATATCAAATCTTACAGACGACAGTCCGGAATTGTGCAATTCCGCGCTATCCAGAGTCATCATAGAAGAAACCGAGACCTGTTACACCACCATCGTTATCTTAATTCTAGTGTTAATCACAACTGGAATGGGGAACATTGCGTATTACGCCTTGGGAATTTCTTACTTAGATGATAACACGAAAAGAAAACACGTGGCCGCCTTCATCGGTATAATTATTGCCTTAAAAATCGTCGGCGTTCTCTTCGGATACTTTTTGGGATGGGGATGTCTTCGGTAAGTACTTCGGTTTTCTCTGAACATTCTGAAAAAAAATTCATTCGCGCGTTACGACGTTTGTAAAAATTAGACGATAGATTTTATAAAACATCAACAAGCATATTTTGTTGCTTATTTTTACTTTCATGGACTCGTTTAGGATAGACGCGGAAGATTTCTCTGTCATAAATTCGTACGAGGATCAAATCGGCGCGTGGTGGCTTGGATTTCCAATTCTGTCTGTATTACTAGTGGTTCCCGGCTTGTTGCTTTCGTGGTTTCCCAGAAGATTACCTTCAGAGGTACAACGCGATTGATTTTTATTATATTGTTAAAAAAAAATATTTATTGTGCGACACATTTCTCTATGTTTTTTATTTTAAATCTCTTAAACTTTATCTTAGGTTGTCGAGCAAGCCGCAGCCTCACTTCTTGATTCGTCCGCCTCGCTGTACAATCGAGCGCCTCATCGAACCGTCAGCACGAAGGTCGGCAGCCCCGACTTCTGGCCGTCATTCTGCAGATTGATCACGAACAAGATTTTGATGTGCAACGTGTTCGCAACGGTATTTTGCGCGGTGGCGCTTCTGAACTTCATAAAACACGAAGATATTATTTTGGAATCGAGATTTCACATGCCCAGACCGACGGGAATGCTTCTCGGATTTAGCGATCCACTGTTGTCCCGGCTAATCAGCAGTGAGTCATAACTGACGTACTTATTGAATGAGCGTATATTAAAAAAAAAAAAAAATAAAAAAACGTCAGATAAAACAGTGTCTTTATTTCTGACATTACACAAATGTTTAGATATAATATTGCGTGTACAGTTCTCGACTAATTTATACGACGATAGATAACGTAACTGTTTTTTTACGTTCCAGATATTGTAAGACCAGTTTTAGTTGGTCTGATTATAATCGTCAGCGGCTTGGTGTTGGCTAAGGGAAAGCCACGAGCGAGATTCATCATTGGCTACAGTTTGGTCATAGTGATTTTGATAGTGGCAATAATCACCTCGCTAATCTTCGCCACTTGCGACAAACCGCCTGTCGTTGGCTTGCCCGAAAGCCCGTGAGTGCTTTTCAATTGTTCGGAAAGCGACATTCAAGACTGTCGAACAATAATAAATACATAATTAAATAATAAATAATTAAATAATAAATAATTAAATAAAGAAATACTTTTATTTCGCATCTAAATTAAATTTGATAAATAATCCGCGCAAGCGGATCTAGACTCATGTGATTATGTTTTCGTGCAGCAACGGTTTGGTGAAATCCTGCAACAAGTATTGCCGTTGTTCAAGCGACGCCGATTTTCGGCCGGTGTGCGAAAGTTCCGGAAAGCTCACGTTCTACAGCCCTTGCTACGCCGGATGCACCACAATTATCTACGTCGACAACGTAAAGATATACAGTGGTTGTACATGCGTGAAAGACATGACAACATGGGATAACGACCAAGCAAAAGATGGCCCGTGCGAATCGGACAAATGTCAAGCCGGCTGGTTATTTTTTGAGGTTTTGCTGATTTTTTTCTTATTTTTTGACACATTATTTACGTTTGCAAGTAAGAAAATATCTGACTTATTTACGATTGTAAGTAACAGTTTTTTTTTTTTTCACTCTTTTTTTAGTTTGGATCTGTATTGGCGTATGCACTGATCGCATCCACTTTTGTGGGAGATTTACTGATCAACCTGAGATCCGTCTACAAGCAGGACAAAGCGCTCAGCATAGGTTTCTGGATGATGTGGATCGCTCTTTTCGTCTTCGTTCCCGGCAGAATTCTTTACGAATACGTGGCGCGCCAGACGTGTATATATTGGGGCAGCAAAGGGGCTATTTGTCATTTGCACGACAACGAAAAGCTCGTGAACTACTTGTGCTACATGACAATAATGTTTTTGTCATTGAGTCATATGTTCAAAATTCTCGTTTGGTTCTTCTGTAAGAACTTGCAATTGTACGAACAGGTAAAGATCGAAAGTAAAGATGAAGAAAGTGGCGCCTTGCAATCGCTGGTTAGTCCAGAAACACCAGCCGTGCAACAAGAAATAACGAACGACGCAGTTAACAACAGTAAAAATTTTTTTGTTTTCTAAATCTAAACTTGTGTTTTGTGTAATTTTTGGTGAGATATTAATGATAAATTTTCAATCATATTTATAGATAATGTTGATACAAGACAAATCGAGGCGGTGGTCGAACCAGAATCGAGGACAGGACCGAATTCAACGGGAGAAACCTCTTCGAGGAAAGAAGAACGTACTCAAAAGAGCGTACCTTTGAAATACGGTCCGCTAGGTCCGGGAGATCGTCGAACGAGTTGGAATCCTCCGGCGAAGCACGATAAGAAATCGACGATCCAAAATCTGGATTCCGAAGATGAGCTAAACAGCTCGAGCGACGAGAGTAAGAAACAATCGAATCCACAAATAGCTTACGCACCGCTGGAGATCGATTCCGACGTCGAGAGCGATCTCAGTAGCGTCGGTCCTAGATCGAGAAAGCGCATTTCGAGCAAGGATTACGACCCAAGTCAGGACGATCGGCTCTCGTCCAAGAACTCGTCTCTAAAACGACGGTTTCCGAATCCCGATAACTACGAGGATCCGCGAAAGACTCAGAATATCAAATTCAAGAATCACAAGGGTCGTGAGGACGGTTCCTCGAAGACAAGCAGCTTCGAGTTCTCGAAGAAAGGTCAAGAGACCGCAGTCAAACAGGGCGATTTCAATGAGGTTGGCATACCGATAGATCCAAACGGTAAGAGCAACACGGGGCACTTGAAGGACGTGAAGTCGCTGATCGATCAATACGAGCAGAACGTGAGTCAGGAAACTTTGAGCGATGATCAGTTATCGGTGAAATCGATGGAGGATACGAGAAATCGATCGGAGAGCAAACTGGGTATACCTTTGGTAGCCATGGTTCCTACTTCCAGGTTGTCCTCCCGGAAACAGTCTCCTACAGATTCTGGCAGCTTGCCTAACATTCAAGACAAGAACTCGCATTCAGAGAGACGGCAAACTCCCAGCCCGAAACACTCCGCCAAAGAAGATAAACCGATTCATCAAACTGATCTTTAAAGTTGTTCTAATACACGTTGTTGTTTTGTAATACACATGACACATACACACACACACACACACATGTGAGAACATCAAGTTCTGTGTATATTGTGTGATAACAAAATCGGTAATTCATTAGTAAAAGTAAACGGTATCAAAGACATACTCGTTCAATGCATGCGCAACAAAAAGTTTCAATAATTTATCTCGATGTGATCAAGCATTGTATAATTTTAAATTAAAATGTTTATATAATATATACGTACGTATGTATGATTTGTGCGGCGTATGCAGAAACTGATCTTCCGTGACTGATGAAAATGTGCATTTCCATTCATTAACTCTCGATAATAATTCGTAGTTCTACTTGTTTGTAAGATTGTTTGTTAAATAAGACTTTTGCCTCTTATCAGCCCATTTGTTATTTCTTATAAATGATTTTATACTTAACGAGACATATATGTAATCTTGTGTATTCTTTGTGTAATGACACACATTTTATTGTTAAGAAGTATTATTTTAATAATTTTAATATTTATTAAAATTTATCTTCATATGTTATATGTAATATATCATTTTGTAGATTATTTCCTTCACTTTTGTTTTGCAATAATGATTTTGTTCTGTAGTTTTAAACTATATGTATAATGCCTATCTTTCTTTCTCCCTCTCTCTCCCTTCCTCTCTTTCTCTCTCTCTCTCTCTCTCTCTCTCTCTCTCTCTCTCTCTCTCTCTCTCTCTCGTTATTCAACACATGCAGAAGAAATGTGTGTTGTGTTTCGATAAAATTATTTCGAACGCAAAAATCTTTCTTAGCCAAACAACAAATCTAGGATACATTGTGTATTTATATATTTTATTGTTAGATAAATTACAATGTATGTCTTACTAGTTGCTAGTTAAAAGTAGAATTATTATATATGTACACACACACACAATTAGCTTTTAATTGTTTCGACTGTATACACAGTGTATACGCACAGAATATACATACATTTGATTATGCACTGATTGACACTTTAAAGTCGTTACTTCCCATTTAGAAACATTGTGTGAATCTCCAAGATAAAGATTCAGATATTACACTTAATTATTTTACGATGATATTTGCGATAAAAATATCTGACCGCGGTAAATTATAAAATTAAATTAAAAATTTGATTAAAATAATCGAATATAACGTAATTGCCTCTTCTTCTTTGCGAACACACCAATGAACGGGGATGATCATCGATCAGTTTTCTCTCATCTAGATTCCTACGATATTTAAATATCTAAGGAGATGCTTAAGGTACTTGTAAAGTCTTTATTTTGTCGGTCCTCTCTCACTTCGAGTCCTTGGCTCATTCTTTCTCAACATGGAGATCTACCATTCAAGCGTCTCATTAATAACCTTTTTTTTTTTTTGTTTTTATTAATAAACGTGATCATCAACGTGATCATTTCCTCAAAGTGTTTCGCCGGGTTCCTCAGCTATGTCCTCCAATTCGATTTCCTCGTCAAAGATCTTCACATCTTTGACGAAGTACCAAACCCCTACGTCGAACAGCGTGCCGATTGTTACGAAACCTGCAATTGTTCGAAAAAAAGAATCAACGCAATGAGAGACCGAACGTGTTCCAATTGGCTATACTGTTTTCTTGCGCGCAATTGTTTTGCAATTTGCACTTACAGGCTGCGGTGAAGTTCAGCAAGTACCTCAACGCCTCGCCGTTGTACAGCCAGCAATTTCCCGTCCCCGAGCACGTTTTGCCCCACACAAGACAAGTCCTATCTGTATAAGAGAGATAAAAAAAAATTACTAATCGATCTTCAAATAGAAAGTGCGATCAACCGTGCGCGCGCTCGAAAAATGATTTTGAACCAACAAAGTGAAGCAATATAAAAAAAATAAAAGAAGATGTTGATTTACCACACTTGATAATATCGAGCTGTAAGTAGTCTATCTCCAATCGTACGTGTGTGTGTGTGTGTGTGTGTGCACAAATAAAGTTTATCACAAACCTAATATATATCCAAACAAAATCGGCGACGGTATGAACGCAAACAGGCTCATTATCGTCAATCCAAAGCCCATAGCGACCGCCTTGTCCTTCTCGTCGACGCATCTCACGGAAACTAGGAAATTCGACGCTCTGCCTGTCGCGCCGCTGAACTTCAAAAGGCACACCACAGCTAAAAAGATGTAGAACTTTTCCATGCAGTCGACCGGACACGAACCCGGAACGGCCGTTCCCAGTGTCTCCGAAACGGTTTCGGACCAGAGAGGATTCGTTTCGTAAGAGGGTTCCGTCGAGAATGGGAAGGTGTTGTTGGCGCCTGACTGCGCCGGATGATGAGGCAACGTTGTTCTCACGCAGCTACAGTCCGTGTAAATTTTGCTGCCATTGCTAAACAGCTGAAGAGACACAATTTGTTCGATTGGTCGTTTTCTCAAAGTTTATAAATTAATTGACCGTTTTAGAAAATTAAACAAATTTACCAAGTGAAGGTAATGTCGTACCTTCATGCTACGGCAGCCGGCGTGACACGCCGATATAAATGTTTGTCCGTTCTCGGTGCACACGGGATTGTAGGTGACGTAGTCGCAACTGCACTGCTCGTTGCAGGGCAGCAGCGTTTTCAGAACACCATTGGGTTGAATCGCGATTTGACTGTCGTTCGCCGAACAACCGAGAAAGGCGTAAGAGATCATCCCCATTATCGATATAATGCCGATCATGACGTTCCAAGCCGCCAAATATCTGGCTTTGGGTTTGTATTTCGAAATGATCAGACCGGACAACAAAATTCCAAAGGCGCTGAACACCAAGCCGACCGTGCCGGTGATTAACGACGAAACCGACGCCGATTGTTTGTACTGGGTCTCGATGTACTTCGGCATGAAGATCCAGTACGGCATGTAACCCATAAAATAGAAGACCGTCGCGAGATTGTTGCACATCAAGGTCGTGTTCGTCAGCAGTCGCTTGAATGTTCTCATCATGTCCGATATTGACGCCGGCAATTCCGATTCCTGCTCGCCCTTGATGCTGCTGGCCGATTTGTTGCGTTCCAAGGCGAGAACTTTGCGCGCCGCCGCTCTCGGCAGAGTTTTCGGAAAGAGCGCGATCACACTCGCGAATATAAAAAGTAGAATGGCCAGAATAATCCATCCCAGCCACCAGGCGCCCAGCCACCTTGAGTATTGCGTATTGCAAAAAAAAAAAAAACAATTAAGTAATTACAAATGAACTATAGATTTTTTTGTGGATCATCGTGTTGCTTAGTTAACGAATAATTTGTTATTGAACTACGTCCAAGTGTGATTGCAATTATCTAATCACGTACCTTGGATCCTGCATCGTGATGGTAGGAGTTAATGTCGGGCTGACGTAGAACTTCAAGGAAAACGAGGCCAGTCCGTAGCCGATGGCAGGTCCCAACATTCTCAGGAAGTACGAGAAGCTGATCAACGCCGGCGTCTTTGATTTCTGTATGTTGTCGTCCATGTACGACACGCCGAGGGTGTAATAAAGAGAACCACCCACTCCGGACACCAGCTGGGCTATGAAAAGAAGCAGTTGCGGCGCGAAGTTACCGTCTTGGACCTCGCAGTCCGTTTCGCGATTTTCTTTGTCCATGCAGAGGAATTTCCGATGCCTGTCGGGTATCGCGCTCATGTTTGTCAGTTGAGTCGGCAATTTCGCCCCGTATTCCTTGGTGAGCGACAGAGCGTCCTCGCCGGGCCCGTAGAGGAAGTGCGGCAGCATCGTTAGACAACAAAAAAGCACAACCTGACGAACAAAATGGCTCATTTTAGTACAACATTGATGCAAAAACGATTTGTATTTTCAATCGCTCGCATCTTTAAAGATTAATCTACTTTTTTCTATCGTACGTATAAATAACATCGTGTTTTTTTTTTTTTTTGCGATTAAGCTCGAAGTTTTCAGCAGTCCGCGCACAAGCGCCTTTTTACTATTCGAAGAATGAAGCGCTTGGCTATAAGCGCACACGGCCACGATAGTACGATGGTAAGAGAGGCATGAATGAGCGTAGCTACGATTCTAACGCTTCCTAATTTAATTAAGAACCGACCAATCGGTGAGGTATGACGTCTCTCCACCGACTCGTTCCTCGGGGCGTGTGCCGACAGCTGATTTTATTTCCTGCCGACGCGATCGGAAAGTCCGGCGCGCGTGAATATCTACGCGGTGGATAATCGCAAAAACGTCTTGATGAACGCATTGCGAGGATTTTTACATGGTGAGAAAAAAAACACTTACGGTGTAAATACCGAAAGCGATCCATCGAGGCCTGTGACCCCTTCCTGCGTAATACGAAAGAACGACGGATACGAAAAGTTGCGAGATGTCGTTACCCACCGTGATGAGACCTGCGTAAGAAGAGGCGCGTACGTGTTCAGAGAACAGTTTTTTTTCGAGATTATCTTTTAGAAAATATTTTTTATATAAAATAGCATGTATTATATGTATATATATTACATATATATAATGTAACAGTAATATATATGTGATATATTCTAAAATGTAAAATTTAATTTTCTAAAAACCTACTTTTTTTTTTTTAATATTATTCTGTTCTAAGAGAAAAAAATGAAGATTCTAATAAATTCTATGATAACAAAAAATTTATAAATCTCGGAATTTACGTGTTATCTTCAAGTGAATGATTAGATTACATTGTATATAACTAATTATTAATGTTTTGAAATATTATATATCTCTCAATATTAACAAATCAGAGTGCCACTTTAAATATACGTGTAAATAAAATACGTGTGTGTAAAATATATTGAGAGTGGTAGTTAAAAATGTTCAATATTATTGCGAATTATTAATGAATAGACAATATTTAACAATTTTAATATGCGACGTGTGTGTCATACGTACCCGTTGTCTTCGAAGGTATTTTGAATCTCTTCTCGATGGTGGTGATGGTGCCGTTGAAGTAGGCGTAACTGGCCGAGAATATGCAACCAAGCACGCCGTATAGAAACACGTACGCCTTCTTGTTGGCGAATTTCTGCAGGATCGGTCCTTTGAAGCACCATATGCCGCACGAGGTGTCGTCGGTGATCGGCAGCTCCTTGAAAACATCCTCTAGACCTCTGGTGGGCGTCGTGGGCGTCGTGGGCGACGACGGCGTTGTGGGCGGCGTTGTCGGCACCCGCAGCAGCTTCTGGTTCTCCGGCCCATTCTTCTTCTCGTGATTCGAGTTACTCGAGTTGTTCTTCATCTTCCTTTGCTCGACCTAGTCGTCCAACTGCCCGCACAACTGGCACAACCGAGCGCCTTAGCACACCACGGAGTGCTACTTGGAGAGCGAAACTCTCAATGACCTCAATCGCGGGTCGCACAGTTCCGATGTGACTTAGTCGTCCTCGCGACCCTTATCATCGCTTTTTTCGAAAACGTTTCCCGGCCCGATGTTCCGCGCTCGCACTCGCGAAATCTCCTCCACTCCTTTACTTACTCCTCGCACTTCTCGCTCCTCCGTGTTTCCCCGACGAGATCGCACACTTTGTTTTATCACGGTCACGTGTTCTCCATGTTTCGACTCGATCGCCAATCTTATACGTTCGCCAACACCTACGCCAGGGAAAATCACAGGGTTGATTGCGGCTGCCGCCCGTGCGACTCAATGATTTATGGATATTGTGACAAACACAAGAAAGATTGACGAGATGAAAGATATATTGTTAAACCCTCGAAGTAGGTGCTTTACGTTTACACAATATTCTTTAATTACTAATCCAGACGCCGTTATCAAACGCTATTATCAGAGCTACGAGTATTGAACTGTATTATCGGAATATTATTTGAACAACTTGTTGAAATAGCTGATCTCAGCGTATCTCGGTTCTTAAGGAAAAAACCATAACCAAATAGTAGCTGTATATATTTTAAATGTAATAAACATAATTTCTATCTAAATGACGATGATTGAATAATAAGAAATAAATTGCTATGTGTGTGTGTGTGTGTGCGCGCGCGCGCGCGCGGATGCAATGTAAAATTGACAAATTATGTATTTGTCTATAAAATAAAAATACAATGTCATTGTATGTAAAATCTTTATTGCGAGTGATCGATGTTTCTGCGAATGATAGTCAGGAGAAACGAAAACCTTCGCGACATGCGCGGCCACCTACCGCTGATTCAGGGTAGACCCGAATTAAGCCCGATCGACCGCGGTCTCTGCAATGTGGAATACACACTTGTTGGAGGCTCTCTTTAAAACGGAAAAAAGTCGATTGTTGGAAAAAAAAAAAAAAAAACCGTCGATTGTTTCCGCCACCGCCGTCGTCGCCGTCGACGTCGCGAGTCAACGTGGTTCCTCGCGAAATATGAACTCGCGTCCGAAAACTCGCGATATTCTTCCGCAACTGAGATGTTTAAGCGCGACAGAGAGCAAGCCGTGTTCTATGCCTGCTGCGTGGATCCCCACCTTTCGCCCCCGAACGTGTACGAGAAAGAGATACATGCAATGGGGGATCTTCTTACACACATCTCAACTGCGGTCCACCGTGTGTCGTTATCAAGCGGGTAAAATCAGCTCATGCCCTCCCCCTCCCCCGCCCCGCCCCCGCGTTCGTCTCTCTTTCTCCTTTCTGACTGTAACCTCTCTTCCTCTTGCCCTCCAAGACCACGATCGCGATCTTTCTCGTGTCTCTCTTTCTCTACGACTAGGAAAACTAGCCGTCTTCGTCGTCTGTGCGTGTCGTCGGTGCAGGCCTGTCTTTATTTGATAACCTACACCTGCATACGTGGATGTCTAGATAGTAGTAGGGATGCTGCAAGAAAAAAAGCAATTAATAGGGCAAGCGCTTGGCGCCCCGCTATATTGCGACATTTGCGAAGAGCAAATAAAAAAAATGGTAAAAAGTATATTTTTACACACGCAATTGGGTGAGAGTATGCTTTTACACGTAACGTTAACTGAATCGTTTCCATCTATCGTCGCAGTTTGAGAATCCAATTTGGACATATTACGTTAATTCCGAATTGCTATCAAATTAATAATTGCACGATCGCATCTGCACACATCAAATTGCGAAGATTGTTCGAAAAATGATCTGTTTTATATGCGTTATTAGAAAAAAAAAATCAAACTACTTGTAAATAATCTTGAAAAGATGGAGGTCAGGAGTTCAGATGAAACTATTCTTCTTTCGCAGACCTCGGCGTTGTTAGCGAGAAACGGGGCATCCCTACTCGGGGAGACTATTCGCAATGTGTCGACCACGGGCGACGTGTACGAGAGAGGTCTTGGCTTTCGGTACGGTGTTGTCTAAGCTCGTTTCTAGTCAACCTCCGGGAGCAGAAGCTCACATTGTGGACCTATTATGATTTAATAGAGAGAGAGAGAGAAATAGAGAGAGAGAGAGAAAGAGAGCCAACGTGATCGTACGTGCGCGCTCACACACAGGCGCTCGGTAAACTCTTCCGTTTATTCCCGCGCATTGCTAATGGCACACATCAAACAGCTATGTCGCTAATAGCTGACGAGTAATTGCTGAAATTTAATTTTTACAACTCGCAAGAACGGCCAGCGTTCCAAGCGCTGCGTCTTGGATTGCGATCTCCTTTAGATCGTATCGCGTTTTTATTCCGATTGAATATTGTATTTTTTTACAAACCATCGTCAATCTCATCATGTTATATAAATCGTGTTGTATAAAAAAAATTAATAAAAACAAACAACTTTGGATATAATAAAATCTCAAAACAATTAGTCGGTCACACTTTGGGCTCGGGTGAAGCGCTAAGTTACGAATTACTTGCTATCTCTGCGTGCCTAAAATTAAATCGTCTGTTAAGTGATATCGGAGAAATCGTGATTTTATTTCTCGCAAGCCGATGTATTCGCTGTGATTTGCAAGAAACACGATATTTGCTTGCTCGCAAACCTGCCGAGACAAATGAAAATTTACATCTACGATAAGAACATCATAAATATACGGTGCAATATACTTGCGCGAGCGCAAATTTCTTGGAAGCTTCGATCTGCCATTTTCGATGTGTGCGAATTTCGTAAAGAGAAAGAAATCATTGTCGTCTCTCAATTTGTTACATCAACAGCACAATTAACTTTTTTTTATCCTCTTCTTATATATTTTTTTTTTTTATTCTTACTCTACGTTTTTCTTCGTAATAGTTCGTAATTATTGAACAAATTAAAAAATTGCCATTGGATTAGTGCGTCAAATCCCTTTTTGTTTATATCCAAATCTCACAAATTGGAGAATCGTCTCTTTGATTGTCGACGATACATAGTTTGTGGCTTCTTGTACAACAACTTTCCGCGTCTATGAGAAATAATCTTGTCACGTACAACTGCAAATACAAAGTGCCAAATAAGTGCCAGAGTAAACGAAAAATTAACGCACGTAACTTAACTTCAGATTTTTCGCGGTACATTGGCAGATTTACAACGTTCTGACGTGCGTGACGTTGACCAAATTTAAAACTGGCGGAGAGACACTTCTCACTTGTCGGGGAAAAAAAAATTCACAATCCACAGTGATTTATAAACTACGTATTTGCCTGATTCTAAACGAGAATCGTTTGTTTACTCGAAACGTGCATATCATTGAAAGATTGCCACCGTTTTGGGACGACGCGACGAAATTGAAGAACATTTTTTTTTATCACAAAATGCCTAATTGTTCAAAGTAATATTAGATCGCGTAAAATTACGTCTATCATATTTAATTATGTAAACTGAAATAAAGAAAAAAAAGTAAGAAATAATTTAAACTAAAAAAAAAAAAAAACAATATATCAGGTTTTTATTGGAGTAATCTTAAAGAATATTAATTTGTCAAAAAACACTAATTGATAAGTTGAGACAGTTAATGTTTTCGTCAACACGTAACGTCACGCAAACATCAAATAATTTGTTTTCGTATATACACACACGTGTCTTTTGCACTAAAGTATACTAGTTGCATTGCAATTTCTCTCTTGTGTGTATTATACCCGACAAGTTAACTTGCAAAGAGACTGCTTCATCAGCGCACCGACAAATTTCGTTAGCCTCTTTAAACGGAACAACCCACTTACATTTGTAAATTACGCAACATTCGCAGAAGGAATATCAGAGAGAGAAAGAGAGAGAGAGAGAGAGAGAGAGAGAGAGAGAGAGACAGAATGGCTTTAGATTCGTTATTATTTCAACAAACCTAATGGCCAATTGTCCTTGTTTTTTCAAGTGCAGTTTTTATTTTCTCTCTCGTATAATTATTTGCACATTTTTTGCGCATACATCACATTCAATTTTTTTCCCATATAGAAAAATAAGTTGATCTATGCCGAGAGAAGTCGTGTCGAACATCGCCCGATGTATGTTTCTCGTGTCGAGATACACGTGCGATTCGAAATGAAAATAAAAAAAAAAAAAAAGCTATGTGAGATAACGTCTTCGACAATAAAAGCGGCGCGCGGTTCTTAAGTCTCGAAGTGGTGGAAGGTGAGTAAACCGATTGCTTCCGGTCATCTATATCACACGCTTCTGTCCTTCTTTACCCAGCAGTCTCGCTGCTAGTCTAGATCGGACTGTATGTACGTTGGCGTAGACGATGTCGAAGGAGGGAGAGAGAGAGAGAGAGAGAGAAAGAGAGAGAGAAAGAGACAGAAAGAGCGATAGAGAGAGAGATGAAGTCTATATGAAAGATGGGTCAGGGTCATGCACAATGCCGTATACACACAAACTTCCTGATATTATAGGCAGGGGCGCAGGAAAAAGAGAGATAGAGCTTTTATATTTTTTTTCGTTGATAATAAGAACTTATATATCATTACGTATTTGTATAATTCTTTCGTTCTAGGTGTTACACGCGTTTATAAAAAAGTATACAACTTATATTTTTATCAAAAAATGTTTTTACATACATTTTCTTTCGGTCGCAAATAATTATTTCACAAAAAGTGAGATCGACGGAGAATTCCTGATGAGAATTTTGAAAAAAATCTTGTTTTTATTGTTAACATTTCTTTTGAACGGAATTAAAGTGGAACGTTGCCGTCGTAATCGTAATGCCGAAGCGCATCCTTCAATGGTGTGTTCTGAAAGATGCGATCGATAGAGACGATCTGACGTCACGGGAACGTCGCGGAATTCATTACATCGGGGCCAAGCCGTCCGCTTTAGCTTGGGTGGGCTTAAAAATTAAAAGGGCTCTCAAACAAAAACTCCCTTTTTACTTCCAGCCTCGTGGGATGTAATCCCTCCGCCGTAGTGGTCCGGCGTAGTGCCCCGCCGACCCTTTCTTCTCCCTCCCCCCTCCCCACGTGAATTTCGACGGTGGCTCGAAAACAAGCCTGGAGACTCCACCTCCATCTCTTCCGTCTCGCCTCAATCCTATTGCTCTTGCGAATCTGAAGCAATAAGCACGGTGTCGATTCACTGATCCACACGACGATGTACTTTCTCGTGCAGTCAAACAAGTCTCTTCTTCTCGCGGCACGTTCCGCTTGTAGAAGATTTAATTGATGATGAAAGCAAGAAAGAAAGTAGTATTTTAGATCTACGTGAAAAATAAAATAGCTGCAAAATCGTTTTATTAAAAATCAAAAAAAAAAAAAAAAAAAAAAAAACATTCAGTGGATTATTTTATGAAGTATGAAAGAAACAACGTGTTTTATTAAAAATATTCGTAATTTATTTACAAAGAGAATAGGAACGATCACACGACTTCGAAATCAACAACGACGTTCAACAAGAAAATTTCACAACAACGAGCTTCCAAACAGCTCTTGGTCATACATGAGTATCTAAAACCTCTTCAAAATGCAACGGACAACAAAACGTGCACGCGCGCCAACGCGTTATTCGCACAACAAGCCTCCTGTCGCTGATACAAAATATCATTGCTCTAGCTACGGACTGTCGACGTGTGTGTATGTGTTTTTTTTTTTTTTTTTTTTTTTTTTTTTAACATCAGTCGTGAAAGCGCCGAAATTTCAGGTACCTAGAGAATTTCACAATCATCACGTTATTATTGAGTCGCAGCGAGACGAGCGTTATAAATTACTACTCTCTATCCTTTGATGCAAATTCCCATTGAGTTCTTTCTTGTCGTCCGAAACATCGGTCACGGCGTCCTCCTTGACGAACTCGCGCCTTTTGTCAGTCTCCTCGGCGCCGTACAAATCCAAATTCTTGCAGAGATAGCACACCACGGCGTCAAATAACACTCCTATCATGGTGAATCCTGTAACAAAACAAGAAGTAATCCGTCATTAACGATCGGGATAACGAAACAGACAGTGCGCGATCGATCAGTGAGATAATTTCAGTCGTCGGCGTTGTTAGATTTCGCTTAATCTTTTAATCTGTTTTTTTTTTAATTTTTTTTTTATCTGATCGGTCAACAACCACATAAAAAAAAACACAAGCGATTAACAAGATGTAGGCCGTTTAACACGCACCAGCCGACGACACGTTGACGAAATATCGAAAGTTGTCGCGGTGATGGAACCAACAGTTTCCTTTGGTCCCGCAGGTCTCGTCCCATATCAAACAGGTCGAGTCGATGATCGCCCCGTAAATAATCGGTCCCGGAATCAGAGCCAGGAGCGAGATGATCATCAGCGAGATACCCTGAGCGAAGCTCTTGTCCTTCTTCTCGACGCTTCTGTAGTTCACCAAAACATTGCCGATCCTTCCGGAACATCCTAGCGTTTGGATTATGCAGGTCAGCACCATGAAGAGCAAATACGGCTTGCTGCAATTGTTGATGCACGGGCCGGCTCTAACCTTGTCGTACGAGATCGGCGAGATCGTCTGCGAATCGAACGGCTCCGTGAGGAAAAGCCTGCTGGAACTAAAATCATTGACGTGATCTCCGATACGGTCGTTCGGTTCGTCCAACGACAGGCAACTGCAGTTGCCGAATTCTTTATCGTTCAGCATCGTCCGGCATCCCGCGTGACAGGCGGAGAAGAAGGTCGTCTTGGACGCCTCGTGGCAAACCGGCGAGTACTTGATACCTTCGCAATTGCAATCGGCGTTGCAAGTGTCTGTGAAGTTTATTCTGCAAACAACAAAATTGACACGTACACATTAAAATCTCTGTCTCAGAAGACGAATCGCAATATTGCGCGTAAAAAAAAAAATAACGATAAACAAATTTAAATTTTATATTTACTGCATGGTGTCCAAGTTCACGCCGCGTATTCCGAGATCCGGACACCCGAAAAATATAAACGACACCTGTCCCGCGACAAAGCAGATCCCGACAAACACGTTCCAAGCGAGTAGCGGTCGAGGACCCGGTTTAAACTTGCTGATTATAAATCCCGATAACAAGAATCCTAATACCATACCAACTAGCGATATGGGACCTGTAAAAAGAACATAAAAATAAAGTCGACACACACGTGCGTATTTTTTTTCCCGTAATTATCTCTCCGATGAAACAATAAATTTCAATTTTTGAACTTCTTACCTCGCTTATCTTTTGATATCGATTATATTAAAAAAAAACTAATTCTTATCGCGTTGAGATATTTTCTTCGTAAAGATTTATTTCTGAGCAATTAATACAAAAAGCACATATTTTGATACACGTGCCTGCTATCACGGTGCCGCCAGCCGCGGATGTACTGTATTGAACTTCAAGATACTTCGCCAAGAACGTGATGTAGCCCGAGGCGCCGAGTATGTAAAATACAGTGCTCAGGTTGTTGCAGGTCAACAACCAGTTTGTCAACAGCCGTTTCACGGCTTTCGGGAATTCGCGAATAGTCGGTATGTACTCAACATCCAGAGATATCGGATTGGTGGGTTCCATCTGTATCGAAGGCTTTTGCTGCAGCACCAAATCGAACTTCAAAGGTATCTCGCCGTCCTGAAAAGCGTAATCGATTTTATCCGGAGAATATTATCGCGAAAACTTTATTTTTCTAAAATAAAATATATTTAGTTTCTGCGTTTGAATTTTGACAATTTTTATTTAGTTTTTTTTTTTTTTTTTTGAGAAAAAAATATTTTATACGTGTCAAAAAAAGAATGAAAAATTACCTTCTTGGAAGTGTCTTTCGATTTGGGAAACTCACGTGGAAACATAGCGATCAAAACGGCGAACATACTCAACATAACGCCGAGAATGATCCATCCGAGCCACCACGCGCCCAACCATCGCGGATCCTTCGGCGAGATAACGGGATGAAGTTTCGGATCTATGTACAAACTTAGGCACGCGTAGCCCAATAGAAATCCTATAGCCGGGCCGATGGTGCGCAAAGCGAAGATGCAACCTGTTTTGAAAATTTCCGAAGCCGTTAACGTTACAACTACTCCTTTTTTGTTCCAATTCCGACAGAGTAACGCGGCAATTATCGTGGTAAAAAAAAAACTTTTTTATTTCGCAAAGAAACGTATAAGAGACGATGCGCAATAATTAACTAATTTTCATGTTAAACGTGATTAATGCTCATATTAAAAACGCGATTAATGCCCAAATTATAAACAACCGCGCGATAATATACCGAAAGATTCCAGATAAAACTAGACATTTCAATGAGAATATTTTTAGAGATATAACTCTCGAGATATTGCGTGCATCACCTACTTCGCACTTATCACAGACAGAGTGATACCGAAGTTATATAGTCACAGCAAAAAACTTCGGTTAATGTAACAAAAAATTTAGCTTTCTGATTTTGATCGTGTATATAAAAAAATATCGATTTTACGGTTAAAAAAAAAAACAAAAAAACAAAAAACAAAAACAATAAATTTCTCGATCAGTAAAGCTCACCAAAGAGCATAGGGGTGTTCTTCTTTTTCGTGTTGTCGTCCAGATACGTCTGTCCCAGGCCGTAATAAAGCGTGGTTCCGATTCCGAGGATAAATTGGGATATAAAGACCAATAATCGGGGAATGAGACTCACGCTCATTATGGTCTCGGGATCGCAGGATGTCGGATCGTACATGCGCGGACAAAGCGGAAGATCGTTCGACACCGTCGTCATGTTCAGCAACGTCTGATCCAGATATTCCTTCGTCAGCGCCAGCGCGTCCTTCCCGGGACCGTATATAAAATGCGGTATCGCCAGCACGAGACAGGACAACCCGCTCAAGCCGACACCAACCGCGATCCATTTCGGCCGATGACTGGACCCTCCGTAATAGGTCAAGATCAAGGAAAATATTTGCGAGATCTCGTTACCCGAAAGTATCAAACCTGTCGCAAAAAACAAGATCGAGCGTTAAAAAGAACAATTCGTGAACACTCGAGAGATGATCAAGAGAGATTGTTAAGTGCGTTTGTTTTTTTTTTTTCTTCGACATAAAATATTGATATGTTTATTAATTCTGCGTATATAAACGTGATCGACGTTAATATTATATCGCATGAAGAAGGAAAATGTCGCGTTATCTGATATCAGATATAGACGTGTCGATAGATGTGTGCGCAAATATATATCGATCGCTTAACGATACTGAAATCATTTGTCTTATACGTGAAAAACCGCAATATCGTAATTGTAATTTAATATGATGTAACGTAATATATGTGTGTGTAATATCACACTTGTAACACTATGTGCGAATTCGTTGTGTCGTGACATTCTCTATCTCTAATTAACGTATAGTAAAAATGACTAATGCTCGCGGTTAGATTTTTTGTCATTCTTCGCACACATACATTGTGTGTGATACGACAGAAAAATAGAAAGTCAGACTCTAAAAGCGTTTTCAGTCAAATGTTTCTAATTAATGTAAAAAAAATAGATGATTTTACAAAACGAAGACGACGCTCGATATTGGTAATAAGAATGACTTGACTGTTTCTCTTGGCACACAATTCCTCATAAACAAGGGATTAACCTTATCTCATTTTACTTTAAACAAACGAACAACGTTAGCCACTGGTAAGACGATCGAGACAGATTTTATTGATTTTTCAGTAAGAATCTTTCGAGACTCTGCTTACAAAAATATATGTAAAAAAATATTTAAAAAAATTACATTCACATATTTTCTATCAAAAGTATATTTTCATGAATGTTTTTCTTACATGTAAAAAAATGACATTGTTTATAGTTAAAGAAATTAATTATTTTATATATTGTATAGGTTTTTTATTCAATTTTGTCGTGTTTCTTGTTCAGCTAAAATTTGTACATATATTTCTGCGAAATTTATAAAAACTAGTTTTCGTTCGTACAAAATATATCGAGATTTTTTTATATCGCGACCAAGACACGAAATACGTGTGTGTAACGTATATTCGCGCGTCTTCGTTGTTCAGAGAGCATGTGCAGCGCTCGTTGTACGATGACAGATTTGTCACTTCTATGATTGCGACACACTACTTACCTACTAGATAAACGCACACGGAAACGCGATTCGTGCGTGTGCAAGTAGCGAGCGCTTTTAAACGCGCGAGAGTATACCCGCGGATGCTCTCGACTATACTCTCGGCTTTGCCGGCAATGGAAACCGAGGCTGAAGACGATTATAAAGAAGATGAGATGACACGTTCGCCAAGTGTCTCGCCGTGTTAGCGTCGAGATGTAAAACGCGAGACGCTCGAACGAGCATAAATTTCTTCCACATTTCTGAGTGTCCGTCAAAAATGGCGGCGTTCAGCGCCACATAACGAGGCTAATTATCCGCATTCGGCCGCAGTTCTAATTGCTCAAAGTCGCACTGGTTCGCGTGCTTGCAAATAATACACGTATATATTTTAACTTTCATTCTTGTCAAAATAAAAAAAAAAACAGACAGTCGCATTAATGTGACGTTACATATAACGTACGCATACGGCGGTTACGGAGAAGAGAGCGAGACAGCTTACCAGTCGTGCGTCCGGGTATTTTGAATCTTTTTTCCAGAGTCGTCAAGGTAACGACGATGTAGATGAACGCCATCGCCTGGACGGTGCCCAGCAAACCGTAGACCGCGATGAAATTTTTCGGGGTGGCCCGATTTCGCAACCATCTGGGATGAATCCCGCATAGTCCGCAGTCCTCGCTCATACCTTCGGTAGCCTTGAGACAGATCAATTTTATTGCGCGTCACTTCGTCACTCAAAATGTTGTTATCTTCAAGCGAAAAATGTTGCGTAAATAAACAAATATGCGTCTATGTATAAGATTGCGCGCGCAATTATACATACATAATTACATATTGCTTAAAGAAATTTATATTATAAATAGAATTGAATTCCATGTATCACGGGATATTAATACAAGAAATTTTTTGTTATCACGGAGAGAGGAAAAAAGTGCGATAAAGAGATGAACCGTGTATTCGCAACGATAAACATTCCCTCAAGGCAAAAAAACATACTCGACTCTTGAGTTTAGTTTCTGTTCCAAGGCGATTCTCGTCAATCTCTTGGCAGATTGGCTGGCATCCGCGCGTGTATTTTCCGTTTTACTTCGACAAGGGTGTTCCGGAGAATTAAGCATCGCGATAAGAGTTTCGCGGCATCATTACTTTAAGTCGACGCGCACTATACAGAGCGCGAGAACATTTAGCGAGAGACAACAATGCGTTGTTCTCGTGATAATGACTTGCGTTTGCGCCTCGATCTACAGATATACACAAATGTTCGAGTATAGTGTAAGAGTCGTCGGAAGGTTGAGGACGCGATTTTTTTCGCGACGTTTCCCACGTGGCTGACGAATTTGACGTAACCGCCGCGCTCACTCTCAAACGCGCGTTCACCAGCAATTCGTAAGGTACATTACGTTCCGGGCAGAAAAATGCAATCACGTGTGAGACACGTGTGATAAGACACGTTATCTTCCTCAATAAAACGTTTAAGTTAACGATAAATCTTGCGTACTCTGCAAAAGTAGAAGGTCTTATGCATTATGTAGTGACGTACACTGATGCGTTTTTTTCTTTTTAACGCATATTTAAACCTCGTTGTTGCTTGCAACACGTGTGTTTCCGCAAACGAAACACGAGTGAAGCGACAAACGATCATATCTTTGCGATTTTTCGCTTCAATTTCACTCCAATAGTGTTTGTGCATTTCTGTTTTTCTTCCTCATACAAATGTCGCTTGTCTCAAGAGAAAAATGGTTTAGCGAGCCATATTGTTAGTAAAATGAGGTCGGACTGCAGTCTGAACGCTCCGTATGGTTCGTTTATGTTTACGAAACGCGTACGAGTTACTGGCTTTATATAACATTCAAGGACAAATTTAATATTTTTTACACTTGTACTTACTTCGATTAATGTGTATAAAAAACAAAAAGCACAGTCAATGCATTAAGATTGTGCGCAAAAAGTGTCACACTTGAACTTTTTACAAATTTGGCCCACACTTGAACTTTTTTTGCGCCACTCGCAATAGCAGAGTCACGTGTTTACGCTATACCCTGTAATGTAATCTGCAAAACTCTATTCAAATCTTATCGCGCGTCAGTAAATTGCTCGAACAAATCTCGCACGTGGTTTTTCCGCGGCAATAAAAAAACCCGATAAAAAAGCAAAATTTCCCAATAACGTCGATAAAAGAATATCCGTTTTCGCATATCTGATGTGTTTCGACACAGAAACGATAGCCTCGAAAAAAATTGCCTCACACGTTTCACATCCCGAGAACGTACGCGTTGTCATCTCATTCATTCCGGAGTTTCGAATATTGTTACATTTAATATACCTGCGTTAATCATTATCCTCGTTCTCTGTGTATCCGAGATGCATTACGTAATTGTAATTTATCCCCTAAGCACGAGTTTTCTCAGACACACACACACACACACACACATACACATCAATTCAAAGACAGACGCTAATCTGAAGTGCCGACCGATTATCACTTCCGTTTTGCTACTTCTGGATATTTCTCATACAAAAGAATGCACATTGAACGCGTAATGCACACATTTACGCGAAATCCCTGTGATTATTTCATCTAATTTTAAAATGTAAGAATCAAGTCTTTCAACGATAAAAAGATTAATAATCCATTACCTCTAGTGTAGTCACAAAAAAAAGTTGTTATTATATAATTGTCCGCCTATTGACGTAACGACAATTAGATAATTGTAAATATTAAATTTTTCAGTAAGTTATTTATTCGCGATAGAATTAACGTTACCGAAAAAAATATTAAATTTAAATTTCATATTTGAAAATAAAAAATTTACAGCGTTGTAAGCTCATTTTGAAAAAATAATTATGCACTTATGTACGGGCAAATATTTACATTAATTTGTATTATTGCATAAAGGTCCTTGTTTTATTTCAGATTTTAAAGATACACGAAAATTCTTTGCGCTGCATTCTCACCTTGACCTTAGACTCTTAGTAGTTAAACACAGGAGGGACTTCCGGGCCGCGACACCTGGATCGCGATCCTCAAGTCTTTCCTCGCTCGCCGAGACGGCTGTTCGTCTCTACCGGGTAGCCTCGGAAATCACCACGCGTAGTAGCGGGCGCTCTACTTTGCGTGGATAAACGCGAGATAACTGAGCTCGTTCGTATGTCAATGGCAACGCTCCCCTACTATTTCTCTATCAAATCGAATGATAAGCGGAACGTCATTCAAAGGACACCGCCAATCGGACACCGGTGCTGACATCTCATCAACCGACGTTCCAACAGCACCTGCACGTGTCGGAGTCTTTCGGGATCGCAGGGTAGCGCAGCTCATCTCACGGTTGCGATCCGTGCTAAAATTCGCACAGCTCTTCCTCCAACGAGGACGCCATATGTAGCAGCTATTTCTTTCGATGGAACAGCGCACTCCGGTTCGCAGCAACAATCCGGCAGTAACATATTGCGTCCTCCCCAATGTTGTACTATCAAATGGAATTTAAAGTCGGAACACATGATGTAGAATTGTACTTGCGCCGAACGCTTTTTTGTGAGGTTTTTGGCGTCCCAATTTTTTGTAAAATGCGGTGTAAAATAATACACGCCACATTTAAATTTAAACAAAATGTACGTATGAGTATATTCGTACGAGCGGTATTCTCATTTGGTATTTACATTCCGTTCTGTCCGTTAATTTTGTTCATCATGAAGTCGCGAACAAAGAGACAGTGCCGGGCTCTCGTCGCGTCGTGTCATCGGCAGCTACGCAAGAGACTCGGTTATTTTTGCACGGTCGTTACGCTGCCGCGACGAGGGCGGTTCTTTCCCTTTTTGTTTGTTTTTGCGAATCGTCGCGCGAGACCATTAGATTTATCTTTAGTCGCTCCAAAACGACGACGATGTCGAAGATCCCGCGACAGCGCGTAGTCCCGTCTGACGAAACAAGTGTGGCGCAAATTGAAAAAGCACCAGTCTGTCGTTCTTTAACATAAGTAATGAAAACCGTACGAAATATATGTATTTCTCTTGCACATTTTTCTCACACAAATTATTTCCATAATTATATATTTTTTACCGATGTATCACATATATGTATAGTCGGTAAAGAGACACGTGTGCAATCACGGATCGGAGAAGAGAAACAAAATGCGTGTTTTTTTTTTCCTCTTAATGACAATATATTTGTTTTCGGCATGTGAATTTAATTAATAGAACGTATATTAATATCATATTGAAGATAACAGGCAATAGGTATATATTACAACTTATATTTATACGTAATAATTAAGCTTATATACATATATAATCCTATAGAAGTCAAGACATGTACTCGCGCAAATCCCTAATGAGGATATACATTTTCTTGAGTTTCTTCTTTCATCGCGTGCTTTCTACTTGTTATCCTTTCTCTCTCTCTCTCTCTCTCTCTCTCTCTCTCTCTTTCTTTCTCTCTTCGCACTTGTACAATGGAAGAGCTTCGCAGTTTCTATAACAAATTCTCCATATCTCTCCAGTTCTTTTTGTTAAGTACATAACCAAAATAACGTATATAACTAATAATGACAATAATATAATAATAGTGTAATAATAATAATAATAATATAATGTAAATTTGTAAATATAATAAAATAATATATACTGTATAGTAATAATAATAATTTAGTTCTTCATTACTCCATAGGTAATGTGTAGTAATACTTAAGCGCTACCTTTTTTCTAAAGTCTCATTTTTTTTTTCTAACTTTTTACAGACGCTTCTCTCGCTTTTGGTTTTCGTAACTAAGTTTCATAATCTTTAAGAATTTATAATTATTACGAATCTATATTTATCGCTAACAAATCGAGTTAACCTAACCTGTTAAGGTTTTTCGAAAGGGTTTAGGACTAGACGGCCACCCCTCTTCAACAACATAACACCCGATTCTACCTATTGATTGACATTTTGATATTATTTCCTTTAATAGCTCCGCACCCTTTCGTTGAGCCTCAATTCTTTACACGAGTTAGCGGCGTCGTGCGTTACATAACGAACGTTGCGCACTAACGAATCGCTGACTAGTATATCTATATGTAGTTGTAAAAAAACATTCGGTAGTCGCGCACGACTACTCGACTTGTGCTAATTAAGGCACTAGATCATTAAAAGTAGACGAACGTACATTCTTCGAGTATGAGAAGATTAAATTAGATCGTGCGCCGTGTGAGAGATTGTCGCTGACGATGTGTAAAAGAAAAACAAGAGGTAAAATACAAATTTCCAAAACATACACGTTTTTTCGTTAATATATCAATCGTCAAAAAGGTTTTTGTTTTTCTCAAAAAGAAAAAGAGAGGCAAGAAATCTTAAGTTTTAGTGAAGTTTCAGTTTTCAAAGTCGTCAAATTTACTCGTCATTTATATCATTATTAAAAACAGATGATCAGATCCATTCTTTCGCTTGTTCTTATTTCTGCCGTGTTTGCGTCAATAATTTGCGACAAACTTAGTCGATATTCTTCTTTTTTTTTTTTTTTTTTAATTAAAATGTATTAAATGATACAACAAGGCCTCTAAAAAGTAAGACACTTCGTCGTTTCGCTGAGGCGCGATTGAAGGCCACTGCGGCTAGATTTAGATTTTGTTTTTTTAGTTTTTTTAAGAGGTTTTTGTTTTTTTTGTTTTTTTTTTTGTTTTTTTGATAATCACGTATGGTTTCACATCTGTGACCCTCTATTGTGGCTTTCTACATCAGCTAATAAATCCCAACTAGTGTTTCGTGTAATATTTCGTGGCTTGTAATATATAAAAGTAAACTCATGTTTTTCTGCTGGAGAGCCAAAATAACAAGAAGCAGTGCGCATATCATGTAAACATGTACTTTGGAAGATATATCTTATTATTTAACGTATTCTCTCTAGGTGTGTGTATATATATATATATATACACATATATATATGTATATATATATACATATATATATACATATATATATACATATATATATATACATATATATATATATATATATACAAATATGTATATATGTATTTGAAAGTTGTTCCAAGTAAAACGCGCTGTTTTAAACGTAATGTGTTTTTTTTGTTTTTAAAAAGAATAAATAATACCTATTATAAAAATTCGTATCGCCTCAATCAGACTGCTGGCTTTGTTAGAAAACCGCCTGACAAAACTTATAAAACTATAAAATCTACTACTCTACATATCGCGCGCGCGCGCGCGCGTTAGGTTGTTTATTATAATTTACTTAAAATTTATCTAAAATGTTGCAGCTATATAAATATTCTCTAATAGATGCCGAAATTATATAAATATTTTCTAGTTACAGATCGAAACTAATAAATATATATTCGCTAATCGACACAAAATTTTACACGTGTCTTTAAATGATGATGTTAAGCTCACGCAGAAATCGTTGAATTTGCTTGATTTGTTTAGAAGTTATCAACGCCTAAAATTGCTGTAATTTTCGGTAAAAATCTTATTCGATTGAGCACATTCGTAAAAATCTGTCGAAAACAGTGTATTTTTACGGTTTAACTGGTAACTTAGAACTATGTATTGTAGTAAATTAGTAAGTCTATATCAATTGTTACATAGGGCTTACTTTTTGCTAGAAACACCGGGACAACAGATTCGCACAAATTACACGCTCGAATTATTTTTATTGCGTGACTATTTCAAACTAGAAATATTTTTGAACAATTAGTTCGAATTTTATTCGATCAATTCGTTCTCATATTTGAACACTACAATACATTACTCTTCTCTGATCTTGTTCATTAATTTTTTTTCGACTTTATACGCCCGTGCCAATTTACGAAACAATTGTCAAAATTTTTTACAGTCTAGAGCTGTTCGATTAATGCTTTCAAACTTGAGTTCGAACAATTGAATGTTCGAGCTTGAGATTCGAGAGCAGTCTGTGTCTGAAACTTGCAATCACAAGCCAGACACATACGACATTGAATCGTATGTCGCATTTATTAGACGCAAAATGCTTAAAACATGAGTTTTCGTACGTGTTCTGCGGATTAAGGAAAAGCGAATTTATATGAAAGGATCTTTTTTATTTTTAACGCGAGTCGCAGCAATTTTAGGCGAATATTTTCTAGCTTCTGAAGTTATCCGTTCAAGACAATTACATCTGCGATTATCTAGGAGACTCAAGATCCGTATACTCTAAATAAAACGCGTTTATATTTCGTTACATCGTTTCCATTGTAACAGATAATATTCCGAAATATAAAACTCATCTCACAAAGACGCTAGAAAATAGCGTCGTGCCTAAAAGCCTTATGAATTTTTTTTTTTTTTTTGCGCACATATTTTCCGACGGATCTAACAATATTTATTTGAATCTATTTGTTTATCCTTTTGGCTCTCAATTTCTCTGAATATTATAAGAATCACTTTTGTTTTACACACACAAGCTCGTCTCTCTTGATATAATTATTTATTAGTCGTTAATTTTAATATAATTGTGTTAAAATTTCACCGTGTTGGTCGTAAAGCGCGCCGATGTCTCGTGACAGGAAAACTTAGACAGGAAGATTAGGGTTAAGAACAGGCGATACAAAGGAAGAAGAGGATACATATATCGTAGATTGTGTAGAGTTTAGCGAGATGTTGCGAATCAACGATTTCATGATCAAATTCATCGTCTTTTTACTCGTTTTTGCTTGTTTTTTTTCTTTTGTTTGCAGTTCTCACAACCATACATCAAAATTTTCCGTGAGACACAAACAGGAACATAGAAATCTCGAAGAACAGCTAAAAGAGAAGCTGATGAGCCAATCCCTGATACTGACAATTCGGAAACCCGAATGCCTCGTTGCAGCTCGCTTCTTACAAAGCCTTGGATTACAAACCATCCATAGGTGGTTCTCTGATTGAAGCTTTCTTTTATTGCAATCTGGCCTCCTGAGGTGTCGTCTGATACGGCAGGGCTGGAAATGCTGCTCCAGCTGCTGTTGCTGCCGCCGCCGCCGCTGCTGGCAAACCCGCAGCACCTGGTAACGTAGCATACGTGTACGGCGTCACATAACCAGCCGCTGCCGCGTTAGCTAAAAAAAAAAAAAAAAAAAATTATTTCATTCAAGTATATACGCACAAACAAAAAGTCACATTACAAGCATCACAATATGTCGTCATATAATATTTAGATACGTTTTTGTAAATAAAAAAAATTCTACCAAAAAAAAACGAGACATAGGATTCAAATGACAGTAAATTATATTTTTTGAAGCAAACATATTGTGTTCGCCAATAAATAAATAAGAAAAGCGTATATACGTAAGCAATTTGTGCGCATTGTATACCTAACCTATGTTTTTGTTTTTGATTATTTCGTACTTCAGCTTTTTTCACGAATGCTGTTTTCATTCGTGAAATATTTAAAAGCGAAGTAAATGTTTTCACCATCACTTATCCACCCGAAACCACCGCCACCATCACCACAGACAGCGCATTAGACTGATGATCAACGTATTATGCATCAATGTACAATTCAGAAAGCTCATGCAAAATTTTGTTTTCCTTATCGATCTTCCACCGTTCGATTAGTAGTATGCGTCGAACAGCGAAGATTTCTTGCGCATTCAATTATATAACAAAAGACATGTAAAAAAAAAAGACAACAATAAATAAAATAAAATTGACTTTATTTCCGCGAAATGAGAAGTAGTTTTCTAATTAAATTATTACAGTTATTGTTTCGTGACAGTTTGTTTTCGTCAGTAATTTATAAAAATAAATTTGCAATGTCGGTAACACAATAACTGCAAAAGTTTGATGAATGAAGGTGAAAGGAAGCGGACTGTATACCAACATAAAAGATGTGTAGCAAGGTTCCCACGAAGGATCTAGCAGGAAATATCCGGAGATTTTTATATCGAACAACGCTCTAAACAGGACATACAGGATGAACAACATTTTTGTTGCATCCGCCCAGTGTTACAGTTTCGCGAACAAATATATCTGCGAGATCAGTATTTATTATTCCCCTTTAACCGTGTTAAAACTTGATGCGCGGCTTTTGTTACACATCGCGTTTCATCCCAATCACAATTCCCATCGTATTGTACGTAGTGTATGTATATGGAAAATATATGTATGTATATTTTTCAACCCTCTGTGTGAAAAAAAAAAAAAAAAAACAACGAGAACCAGATCCTATGGGAACCGCGCCTCTGAATATAAAAAAACCACTACGGACATCCCCGGAAGGAAGGTGCAGAGAGCGCAACTCTCTTCACTCTCCCTTTCTCTCTCTTTTCTCTATCTTTGAGAGTTTCTACCGTAGTCACGTAGCACGGACGGCAGAACTTGCGGTAATAGAGCTTTCTCCAACCGCTGCTGATGAGCCAACGTCGCTACAGGACTGTTTTGCTGTTGTTGGTTCTGTTGTTGTTGGTGATGGTTAATCGGATAGTTGCTACTACCGCCCTTGCTCTGGACTGTATTCAGACACGTACCAGCCGCGGCTGCGGTGGTGTACGGATACGCCTCGGCGAAGTTATAGGATGTGCCGGGGTAGGTCGCGGCGGCCGCCGCCGCGTTCTGGTACTCGTAGAATTGCGAAGCCGCCGCGAGGGCTGCGTGGCCCAACTGCGTCGCCGGAAGAGGCACCAGGCCACCTGGCGCTGCTGCCGCCAGGTAAGGCGATTGATACACATAGCCCGGTGGTACCCTGCAAAATCGAGAGATGACATTTTATTAGTTACGGAAATGTGTTTTAACGGCGGCACTCCGTTGTACGCAGCGACACTCGAAGAAGATCTAATTGAAGGCGATTGCTTGTGAATTGATTGAAGGCGTGTGTACCAATAACAGGGCGTGATTTTTCTATTTGAACAAAGCAAGCGAGAGATTACGTTTCTTGCAAGAGATTTACGTGAGATCTCGCAATCTTTTCACTTTATCTGTATGTAATAACATTTGATCAGCTGTAAAAATATATATTCTAGTTAATCTATTTACGCATTTCGAAAATATTTCAAGTTGTTACAATAAATTAATTGTCTGATGGACACGCGCTGGTACGTAAAGAGAAAACGCCGACTGATCTCAGAAACAATATATTCACAAACAACACCCGTGAAGCGATCGAAAGCCATCAGATGACAATTCGAAAGGTGTAACAAGAAAAGTATAAACCTCATGGATTCCGTTCGCTTCGATTATATATTTCTCTTATTTTGTGGAACGTGGATGGAATTGGAAAGGAACGGAGGGAGAGTAATGCGTAGCGATTCAAATGCTCGCAAGTTAAATGTGTACAAGTGTGTAAAAGTTTTTCTTTTGTGTGCATGTAACAAATGTATATTGTTCGCGAGAATGTCAATCGTCGGTTGAATTGAATAATTCGAAAAATCGTCGGTATTTTCGATTGTCTTTAAGAAATCGCGGACACACACAAACGACAATCAATTACATGAAGCTCGACGAGAACGAGTTCACGTGTACGCGCGCGAGCGTTTGTTACATTGCCGATTTCCTCGACACGCCAGAGTATGCCAGAAGCCCGTCGGAAGCACGCGGCGGAAAACAAACTTTCTTTATTGCGTTTCGTGTTACAAGAAAATTCCCGGCTTGACGGTCTTTCGCTCTCGAACAGCTCTCTACCAACACCAAAAGCACGCAACACCAAAACGGCAGAGCGAGCGAGGGACCGAGTTCTCTTCAATCGATCTTCGCGTACACGAAGTAACGTACAAGCTGCGGTTCTCCGTTCAAAATCTCGTGTGTGTGTGTGTGTGTGTATGTGTGTGTGTACGAGGTATTTTACTTTCAAAAGCAGCATATATTTAAAAAGAAAATAATGTTATTGCACTTTCGTTTGAATGATCTTTTTCGCATATATCATTTGATGTTTTTTTTTGCATGTGTTGTAAACATACGCGGAACAATGGAAAGTCCTGTAGGATGTGTGCGCTTTCTCTGCAAATTCCCCCCAAATTAAGTCGATTTTCCTCAGCGCAAATTTGAAATCATCCGCGCGACTTTCTAATTTTCAAGATTAAATATCTCGATAATTAAGAGACGAGAATTAAAACTCTGTTAACGTGAGATTTAAGATTAATTAATCGGATCTGCTTTTACCCGTGTATTCTCGAGGCATAATTTACTAGAATTTATTAATTTTTTTTTTTTTTACGACAAGAACAAGTTTTGCAATCAGGCTTTCCAAATCAAATTTTCACCGGGAAAGACTTCGTGTTCGTTAGCATCGAATTCGTTTCCACCGAGACAGACTCGCCTCCTCGTCTCTAATATAGATATCACGTGTGTGTATGTGTGTGTGTGTGTGTACAGATGTGCCCTTCGAGTGCATTCTGATCATGTCACTTGCAGCACTTGCGTATAAATAGAGACGCGCAATCCAATTAATATTATTAATAACAAAAAGTCGTACCAGCGTCACTTCCAATACATTAGATCTTATTTTTCACTAGCTTGAATAAAATATTGCGGTGTTTTTTTATTTCAACAATTTTTAATCTACATTTGAATTTCTAACATTCGTGTTATTATTTAAAACAAACAATCTCTCTTTCTATTAATTAATATCAGTATGCACGATTTTTTTGACTGAGTATGTGCGTATGTATGTAAGTGTAATTGTGACATCTCATTGGTGGGGGAGAGAGGGAAGGACTTTTGGAGAAAGAGCAGACGGGAGTAAGTCGGTGTGAACAAAAAAATAAAAAACGAATAAAATGTTGCTCTCACTGTGGTATCAATAATAAAGGCGGAAAAAAACGTACGCAACAATCCAAGAAAAAAGTCTTTCATGTGTTGCCAAACAACAGCAAACCAACGACAAACGTGTATGTAGGTGACGAAATATAAATACTTCTCGGCACACGGCACACGATTATCTAACACCAACGTTAGTACCTAAATTCACAGATCTAAGGAAACGTCTCGAGACTTCGCTCTCTTCGCATTTTACCGGTGTTTTTGAAACGATATGTCGTAGAGCAGCTTAAAATAAGAGACACATTTTCTGTGTGAGAGAAAGAAAAAAAATTGCAGTTTTAAAGGACAAACTTGAGATTTTGAAAAAGAAATTCACTCAAAAGTCACCGAAGCCAGCGACAAATCATAACATTTTCTGTTGTATTTGTGACCAAAAAAATACTAGAGATAATAAAAATTCAAATTTTATTTAAGTAAAACAAAAAAATAATAATTTAAAAAAGTAATCAATATCGCGCGCTTTTGCACAACAAGTACATGTGCGTTTGCGCGCCACTCTATTGAAATAAACTTGCTCGTTACGTTTCGCACGTCATTGCAAACGACGAGGACAAGCATTGTTGTTGACTCGCATGCATTCATGCATGTGTGCATTGTCATTTGTTACGCATTACATAATGTTTCTTTAATCAGACATATTCGAGTTTCGTCGGATATGTCTGCTAAGGTTACAATCGAAGAAGAAATTGGTTGCATCCCCTAAAATCTGCGACTAAGCGCACTCGGAAGGGAGAAGAAAGACGTCGTTTATAGTTCTTAAGCCACTCTAAGATACGTGTTCAAATTACAGGCAAATCGACACGAGATCGTCTCGAAACGTGTTCCTTGTGTGAGAAAAGAAGAGAAAAAAAAAATAGATAATATACAACTCTCACGGGCAGTGCCTCTGTCTCCCTTACATTTTTTTTCTCTCTCTCTCTCTCTCTTTTATTTTCTACTCTGCTTTTCTCTACTTTCCTCTCAAACAATAACGCGCGGAAGATCTCCCCCGATTGGCGAGCGTTCGTCGATCGCATCCGCGAAATTTGTTCACCGATTCGCAATTGTGTTTCCTAACGTTCGACGTGCACTCTGCGAATACATAAAAAATACAGGAGATAAATTCACAAAGTTTCGAAATTCACAGACGAGTATTGTGGATTGTGTACAATATGTGTGTCCCAATATATAAGAGCTGCAATAATTTTGCGAGCGCAAACGTCACCCACACGTAAAATCAATAAAGAATCGAGTGATCGCGGAATCGTATTCCGAATTCACGACCGATTAAACGGTAAAGAGCGATTCCGAGGAGTCTCGGGGAGACGTCGAAGAGAGGAGAGAGCCCGACCTCTTTCCCGGGGACAGCCCTGAACTTTTTAGTGGATCGATAATAGCCAGTGTCCAGTCTGCGAAGGGAAATCAATATGTTGTCCTGCGGCTTCGAAACGACGGAAGCTTCGTACGCGTCGTCGGTCGGATTGGTGCCCTCGGTTGACCATTATCGCGCAATCACCAGCAATCGAGAGCGGCTTCGACAAGCGCGCGTCGCGCGCTTCAGTTTCTCGAACGAGCAAGTCGACAAGAGCGACAGTCGCGTGTGTTGCAACGAGGGGGCGGGAGAGAATACGGCCGTAAAATCGACGACCTTGAATCGGAACTGTCATCCAGGATGGATGAGCACGGCGGCGGGTCGATGAACATTACATGACGCGAGGGACGGAGCGAAATTGATAAAATGGAATGGAAGAAGCGACGGCACATGTCCGCGGCGTCCGTTGCGCGCTATATAACGCGACGTCGCATTGCGGATGGGCGGCACTTTTTATCTTACACATCACCCGAGTTGGTTCCGAGCGAGCGAGAATCCGGTGCCGACTCGCGTTGCGATTTGCATGAAGAGAAGGCGAATTGCGTGTCCGCGAGGGAGGAGGAAACGTCCCGGGGCGTGCAACAAAGATGAATGTTCTTTTAGGCGCGAGGAGCGAGGTAGAGGGAGGATGCGCACTCCCTCTCTTTCTTCCTTTCTTTCTTTCTTTCTCTCTCTCTCACTCTCTCTCTCTCTTTGTGCAACGTGTGTCCCAATGCAAATTACCATATTTTTTCTTGTAATAATAATAATAAATTATAATAGTGTTTTCCACATCTGAATAAGGAAAACTCAAGCACATCTGCGCAAAAAAAAAAAAAAAAAAAGATAACATCGACGACCTTGGCGCGGCGAAGTGTAACAAGAGGGTCGAGAAGCGCAGTGAAAATTTTATACAATGACATCGCGTTTATTTTCTTTTCTCTCTTGCTGTATTTTAGTCGTGAATTTTGTCGCGCTTTGTTAATGTCGAATATATTCAACGATTTTGTCAAATGGTGTTGCCAAAATGTTTCGTACGCTTTATCGCGTCAACAAGAAGATTTACACATAAAGAAGAGAGAACGCAACAAAAGCGATACACATGAAACGCGACGCGTTTCGGTATTCGATCTTTTCGAACAAACGTATGGAAAATTAATAGAGGACCATTGCCAATTTTACGAACATGAAAGATTGTCAGCCACCTGCTGGACTTCTCAACGCCTGGAAACGCGCGTGTGCGGATACTGAAGATTTAGTTGGGCGACCGTTGCAAAAATATCTCGCTTGTGCTCTCCTTCCTCGTTCATGCCGAATTTCATTGATGTAAAAAAAAAGAAAACACGCAATTCTTAATATTTTAAAGAAATCTTCGTTAGAAGAAGAAACAATTGCACATCTTATATTATTTCACTGTGTTTACATTTTGTTTTATTTTTCTTGTTCAATTTTATCTCGGTTTAATTTTTTAACTCTACTATTAAGTTAAGAAGTGTCTCCCCAGATTGCAACAAACGTTAGATACAGCGCGCGGTAAGGAAACAAAGACTCCGGACGCGAAGTCACACAATAACGCGCGCGAACGACGCGGTTCCCCT